CCGCGGCAGTTCGGCCAGTTCTGCTACACGGTGCAGAAACTTGGCCATTAAGAAAACAAGATAAAGACAGACTGTCGGTGTTTGAACACCGCTGTCTACAGAGCATTACACGAATCTGGTGGGGAAGCCGGACGAACAATGCTGAGGTTAGGCGCAGAGTTTTGGGTATCCGCGGTCGCCCACTGGAGCAAGTGGTTGACCTTCATAGATCACGTTGGTTCGGGCATGTGTTACGCATGTCACCAGATAGGTTGCAACGGCGAGCAATGTTCGCCGAGGCAGGTAGTGGGTGGAAGAAAGTCAAGGATGGTCAAGCTAAAACCTGGCACGAGGGTATGAAAATACTGACCAGGAGTCTGGGTCACATAGTTCCCGTTAGGCTCCCTGGCTGGGGACCTCGGGATGATCGTACCCGATGGTTAGAGACACTGATTGATATGGCTGGGTGTCGCAACCAGTGGCGTTCTTGCATCTCCATTTCTCTGCAAACTTAGACCACTGAACTTCTCCATTTTCTGTTCAACTCTATCTTCAACTTTCCTGTATTCTCCTATTCTTCATCCAAATGGGCAGCCAAAAGACAGCAACCAAAACCGGCGCACGAAAGTGCATGGTTAATGGTTGTTCAAAACTGAAAACTACTTTGCCAAAACGAATGAAAGGCAGAACTGGAATATATCTTAGGTCTTAAAAGGAGTAGACAATGACCACTGGTTAAGACGGGTGCACATAGATGGAGAAGAGTTTTGGGTGATTTGTTATAATTCTGTCTAAACCGAGTTACATCTGGGTAGGGGAAAAGCATAAATCGGTTAGGCCAAAAGCAGTGAGAGGCCGGTCGGGGGTAGGTGCCTGGGGTTGCGACTGCTCACTCCTTGCACCTCGCGAAATGCTCCCATACGACCAAGTGTCTCAAATAGCTTCTGCTGCGGAAGCTCTCATAACTGCCTTCTCGTGGTGGAGATGTTTTCCCACAAAAATGAAAGGACAAATAGTCGATATCCGGGTTGGTGGGTTACTGGTAGGTCATCTAGGGGAGTCGGCCAAAAACCCTGATTCCAAACCGACCAAGAAAAGGCGTACGAACCACACGCACCTTCCCGGCTGTGGCAGTTGCCACCGGCTCAATTGGGCATCAAAGTGTACTGGGCACCTTGGACGTGTGATCCGATGAACTGGACACCAGCCCCGAATGGATTGCGGTTTTCACACACTGCCCGCTACCTTCAGGGCCACGCTCTGGCTAGCCAAATGCTCCGGTTGTATTTTCATCAAGAAAATTCATCTGCTTCGGCCTGGGTAACCTGGCAGTGTTCGGCCCACATGCAAATCATGGAAAGTTTATCTATTTTCATAAAAATCATTGTATCATGATTTTATCAGCATACAGTCGGGCGTCAGACGAGTATGAAATATTTACATATGTGGTGTTTATTTGTTCGCCGAGCTTGGCAATTGTATTGCAAACGTTTCATCAATAATGGAGGTGACATTCTCCATACATTAACTTGGTGAGCGCTTACATGTGCCCCTTTCCTTATATAGGTTGTTGAGTGATGTTGCCTGATCGGCTGATGTTTGTTCGCCTTGTGCCGATAGAAGATGAGGTGGATGCGAGCAGTGTGACGGCTGGCGGTTGATTGATCATACTAAGTGCTACTGTCGTCTTGTTGTGACCTGTGACACGACCCGACTTCTTTGCATTGATTTGTCCTTTTGTTACGAAACAACGTCGTCCCGTCTAGCGTTAGTCATCGACCACCAGTCAACCACTCAGAAGCCTAGAAAATAGCGATACGATATGTTACAAGCATGGTCGAAATGATCATAACGGATGCTCACAGACGTCTACATAAATAGGACAGCAGAATGAGGAAAGAGACAGTAACTTGCAAAAGTATACTGGACCACGAAACCCTGAAAAGTCTACAATTAGTTTTACAGAGAAGAGTCACCAACACAACGGCAAAAAGGAAGAAGTCGTTAGCCAAGAAACTTGAGAATTTGTTTAAGCACAAGGAAACTGAGCAACACAACGCTTGGATCAGGAACCTTTCAACAAGTCCAATATCAAACGAAGAAAAAGAAGCTCTCATCAGAGGACTTCACTTCAACGTAAAAGACGCGACAAAGAAAGAATACTTGTCGGAGTTAGAACATGCCCTGAAGGTTACCGGGTTGTCCAATAACACCGAACAACAAATATGGCAAACCATCGTCCCGATTCTGACATGAAACAAAGCGTTCAATGCACTCTCAAAAACCGAGAGAAAAAGCAATCAGAACACTGAGAACCGATAAGAGTATCATCATCCTCCCAGCGAACAAAGGAGTGCCCGTGGTAATGGACAAAACAGACTGCATCAGAAAGGCAGAAGAATTACTCAAAGACAACTACCAACCGCAAAATAAACACGGATCTAACTTCAAGACTCGCCGGCAAAGTCAACGCAACGCTGAAACGGCTACACCAAATTA